GTGCGTACGTAGTCGCACGCTGTCAGACCCAATCGAGTCATTTAGTTAGGATGGCGTGCTTAGCGGAAGGAACAGCTTGCTACCAAACTCTGCAAGCTTCAGCCTTGAAGATACCCACCCCTAGAACGGATAGAAGTGGCCCATGTAATCGGAGCTTTTCGATCTTGTCAGTAGGCTTTGCCATATAAGCCTTAACCCCCTGGCTTCTTCGAACCATTAGTATTTTACCCCTCACCAGTATGGTGAACGAAGTTTTTGCCGTAGATTGGAATGCTTTAGGTGCACTACACCAAAATGATTCGCCATTCTGGGATAGCTCCGGAAATTCTATTCTCATAGCACCCAGTTGCACACTGTCCTCCCCACAACTCAGAAGGGCTTTTTTGAGTTAACAAAAACACGCGTCAGAGAGCGCACGGCTCACCCCTGGTTCATTTATCCATGTCCTTTAGCATTTCTTTTGAGTGTTTCGTTGTTCAAGCGCCTCAAACTTCTTGAATGAAAACATGCATCAAAAGGAGCTGTAGCAGGGGACTTTCGCCCGTGGCACACGATAGTCACCCGTAGCGCCAGGGGGAGGCGGACGAGTTCCCCTGCAACCACCAAGCGGGCGCGCGTTTTCATCACGAGTGCACGATCAGCTGATGGCGCGGGTCGTCGCGGGTGGTCCCTTTCACATGACGCACTTTTCTCGTTTGCGAACATCAATTCCAGTGCCGATTTTTACCTTTTGGTTCTTCGAACCTCCCTATTTAATAGCTTCTTTACAACAGTTTGTTTTTTTTCAGTTCTTTCATGACCGTTGAAGAAGTGGCCCATCTTTTATGCGTGAATTTCAATCAAGATGCAAAGTAAGTTCGTTGTGATAGTAAAGTTCACTTTTCTAAAGTTTTTTAGTACTCTGACTTGACTGTAGAAGAAATATTTTGGGTGATTTGTTCAGTTTTCTAAAGAGAATTATGAAATCAAGGCGCCCCGTCTCACAGCTGTTATTGATTTTCGGGACTGGCATCCCCTTTCGTTGACAAACATCTCTATTTCAGAACTGTAAGGAACTACATGGAGCACAGATTTAGTACTCTAAGCGCTTACCAATATTATTTTGAGTACTATTTAGCTAAGGAGGGGATGTTTCGCTAACTCGTAAAATCGTGTTAAGATTGCAAGGGACTCGAGTTTGCTTTATATTTGCTTCTCGTGAGGCCGTGGTACCAAGGAATAAACTAAATTATTCACGAAAGGGGTGGTTAAGGGATGGTTAAACGGTTATACGAAACCAATGAACGTCCTGATGTCAGGGGAAGTTTCTGCAAGCTACAACCCCACCCCCCCCGTTCCCCTCTGGTCCCTCTGGTACGACCACCTTTTCCATCCCTAGATCTTCATGAATCCTCTCACTTCCTACCAGTTTTGCAGGTTTTTTTTACAAAAATTCTTCCTCCCCCCAGAGAAATGCCGTAGAACGGGGAAGAGGGTGGGAACTGCGGAAAGCGCACCTGAAAGAGGAAAAGTGGAGAAAAGTCAACAAGCGAAAACATGTTTTTCGAAGGGGAATACGACTCCCATCGCTCAAGGTCGCGAACGTACGACGTGCCCTGTTTAGCACACCCCTCCCGCCTAAATGGCTCCCCCCCTCTCCCTTAGAGCTCTTTCTCCCTGGATTTATGTTTAAATTTTATTTATTTGGTTCGCGTTCGTCTTTTCACAGCTTTAAACCCTCACCCTCAAAGCTTCCAGCATGAAAAATTATACCATTTTTTCGTTTGCAAGAGTTTAACATGTCTTAAAAGGACCTGGCACCTGGCATGTTGGCTTGAATTAGTAAAATGCTCCCCCTTACACGATTCATTGTCAGGTTGGGGGAGGGGATGTTTAAAATTCAAAATAAGCAACAAAAACTGCCTTGATGAAAAAAGATGAAGCAAGTACATGGAACCAGTAAATCATCTGCGTGAGTCATCGCAGGCATGAGGCTACATTCCTACCTTGCGGAAGTGTAGAAACTGTCGAAATCATGAACGGAATAGCGCTAACGTGGTTGGAACGGGTGGGGGACCATTCAGTCACACCTCCTACCCCTACCCTAACCAAGTTAGTAAAGAAAAGTTCTTTTCTGCAGGGCTATACCTCGGCGACTCTGGTCGTTTGCAGTTTAAACCTCAGCACTTTTGAAGGAACATATCAGAGGAGTATAGGGCGAGTCGGGCAGTCTTTTTAGCCCCCCCCCTCCACCTACGTTTGCGCCGAGGAATATATACGTATCGATCTGAGGAACTGCGGAACGGGTCGATACTTATGCACTCTTCTTCACGGTTTCTTCACTTCTTCATTTCCTCACTGTCGCAACGTATGAACGCGGCCTTAGACTCAGAGTTCTTTGATCGAGGTAAACATCTATGGGTTACCTGAAGGAGTGGATACTAGCGAAACATCTATGGGTTACCTGAAGGAGTGGATACTAGCGGGTATAGCCATCATAGGGTTACCTAAAGGACTGTATGCCAGGAGTAGCCTTCTTTTTACTTTTACG